GGGGGGGGGGGCGGTGCTTAAAAGACATCAAACCCTTTTTCATTTTATTGAACCAAAGGGTAATCTCTTTTGAAAGTCTGTCCCTATTTCTTTTTTAAAAAGGAATTAAGCTAATATCCTCCAGAATGTTTCAAGTTTCAACGTCTTGGGCAAGAAATCTATAGTCAGCATCTCTACCTTCGAGAGAGTAAAGAAAAAATAAATCAAGATTTGAAAGCTGGCATGACACACAGATACTAAAAACACGGTCATCGTGCCTTCTCAGACTAATAACTGGCTTCCCAGATAAATGCTAAAGCAAAGGTATAAACAAAAGGCTAAACAGAGCATCAATAATAAATAACAGCTGCTAAGGATGCAAATCATGTCATAAAAGCTAAAATAAATTACTAGACTTCACAACAACAGGTCTTAAAATCACATGCCACCAAGCCAGGTAAGACGGATGCGTGGTCTAGAACACTGGTTTTCCTGCAAAGAATCAACGTGCCAGCTTGGATTCGGCTGCTGCCGGCCAAGCACACACCACATATGAGCTCGTTCACACGTGTCTTATGGACAGAGGTGTTCCCAGGGTCAAAGAGGAAAAAAGCCCTGCTCCCTGCCCAGTCTGCAAACAGAGACTCTGCGGGCTGGGCCGACCCTGTCGCTGACTCACTGCAGCCTTGGGGAGAAAGACACACACTCCTCTGTTTCTCTTGGGTGAACCATCCCAGATACAAGCCAGAAAACAGATTTTTTTAAAAAATCTGCTTTCCAGGGGAGTTAGTAATACATTTTTGGTTTATTCTGGTACCTTCTGTTCACTACAGGATCAACACAAGAAGCCACAGCCCCATTTGTACACATCTCTGTGCTACATTTAGGACCACATCGCCTCAGAAATAAAAAGCCCGTGGTTACTATTTACATCAACAGTACAAGGAATAAAGCAAATGAACAACCAAACCGTGAGCTTCTCGTTTCCAGATACATGGGTGACCAGGCCGCTGAAGTGACCTTCCCCACCTCTGGCTATGATAGCAGTTGCTTTATCAAATTTATTTAGCACCTAAACATGGCCTACTGATTAATGTAATACTAACTAGACCTATGGCTGAATGCTTCTTACAACTGAATATTTCATCTGTTTGTTACCTCCTAGTAGAATTGTTAGTTTTTAGCAACGTTTTCAAAAATGTTTAAAGAGATAGACAGAGAGAACATAATCAGTGAAAAAATGTAAACAATCCCAAAATATCTAAAGTGAAAGCCCCCTGTAACCTCAAGTTTCCAGCCCTCCTCTAGGGGAACCACTTAATATTTTGGTGTTCTCTATAGGTAAGACTTTTTAAAAACAAAAACAGGAATGAGAGCACCAGGCACTGTCCACACTTGCTCTTTGCCCTGGGCATCGTGGGTCACAACGCAGAGAAATAGATCATTCTCTAGCTGCTCAGTATTCCACAGTCTGGCTACACTGTTGTGTTTTGTCTTTTAATATTTTTTCCAGCTTTATTGAGATCTAATTGACATATACCACTGTGTAAATCTGGGGTGGACAATGTGATGATTTGATATGTAAAGTTGGTGTTCAGTGTCTGAGGATGCAGGACCTACGGATGCGGAGGGCCAACTATGCTGCGGCGTCTTACATAAGGGGCTGGGGCGTCTGCCCATGTTGGTACCCTCGGGGGTGCTGGAACCAATCCCCCCAGGGATACAGAGGGATGACTGTTTCGGGAAATGATTACCTCAGTAGGCTTAGTATCTCCGTCTCCTCACATAATCCCCGCAGTGTGTGTGTGTGTGTGTGTGTGTGTGTGTGTGTGTGTGTGTGTGTGTGTGTGTGTGTGGGAAACATTTAAGATCTACTCTCCTAGCACCTTTAGAGAATACAATACAGTGTTGTTAACTACAGTCAATGCTGTATGTTAGATCCCCAGAACTTATTCATCTGCTAACCGGAAATTTGTACCCTTTGACTGGCATCTCCTAATTTCCCCCATCCGCTGGCGCCTGGCAACCACCAGTCCACTCTCTGTTTCTATGAGTGCAGCTTGTTTAGATTTCACATAAAAATGAGATCACACAGTATTTGTCTTTCCCTGTCTAACTTACTTCACTTAGCAAAATGCCCTCAAGCTCCATCCTTGTTGTCGTAAATGACAGGATTTCCGACTTTCTCATGGCTGAATAATATTCCATTTAATATATACGTATATGTGTGTGTACACACTCACACTCTCTCTCTCTCTCTCTCTCACACACACACACACACACACACACACACACACACACACACACACACACATCTTCTTTATTCATTCACCTGTTGGATGCTTAGGCTATTTCCATATCTTAGCTACTGTGAATAAAGCTGCAATGAACATGAGAGGGCAGATACCTTTTGGATATCCTGTTTTCTTTTCCTTTGGGTATATACCCAGAAGTTGAACTGCTGGATCATATGGTGGTTCTATTTATAATTTCTTGAGGACACTCCATACTGTTTTCCATTGTGGATGCACCAACTTACATTCCCGCCAACAGTGCACAAGGGTTCCCTTTTTGCTGTGTCATCACCAACACGAGTTACCCTTGTCTTTTTGATAAAAAGCCATCCTAATGGGTATAAGGTGATACCTTTTAGGCTTTTTAATTTATTTTTTGGATCATGAAATTCAAAGTTACAAACTATTTCTCCGTCGACAGCCATGGTTTGCAGTATTTGGTACTAGTAATATTGCGAGGAAGATGCTCCAGTACCCGATTTTGTGTACTTGGTGGATAGTCATATGGGAAAGAACCTAAGAGTTAAGGACATCTGTATTCTGGGCCCATAGGTGGTTGCTGATACAAGGCACCTCCTCTATTACTGTACCAGAAGGCTTGGTGCTTTAGTCTCCAGGTGGCATTTTAGCGTTATCCTTGCTATAATTTTCCTATCAAACGTGTCAAAAAAAAGTTTCTGGGAACCGACATGCAGCCTCCCTGTGCCGTTTGCTACTTTTATATGCTTGGGGGGAGAGGCAGAAACTTCTGCTGTATTTGGTAGGACTTCCCATGGTGTGACATTTCTGCAAGCTGAAAAGCTAACATGGTAGCCTCTTTTCACCTGGAGGGTATCAGTTTCTCTACTGATACTTTAAATAAGTAGTAATTAAATATTTTAATAAGCTTAAAATCTGGTTATGCATCTATACATACAATGGACTAAATGACACACCTAACTGACTCAGATGACAGCTATGGCACTCGACTTTTTAATTGGTTTTTGTCTACCCTGGCCCAGGCATAATAAATATCGAACTTTCCCTTCTCCCGAGAACTTGAGAATGGGGTCTTCACTCGTGTGAAAAACAGTTTTTAGAGGTCAGAGCCATCTTTCTGCTCGAGAATTAGTGATGCAAATCCGTGCTCCCCAAAGTGGCAAGAACTGGGGCGGGTCTGGAATCACTGAGCTTCCACTGCTGTAGGGAGAGGTTAGGAGGGAAGGGCCCTTCTCAAGCTGCATGTCTCCTGTTGGGCTTAATCCAAGCAGAAATTCAACATCTAGCTCAAATTAATTCTGAGTTTCCAGTCACCAGTGAATGGCCTTAAGAATCTATCAAGATGTCCTGAAAGCATCAACTTTAAAACGGTGAGGGTTTCCTGAGGCCATAGCTCATCACCAGGTTTCCCCGAGTCCTGCTGTTTGTTTAGCACTGCTGTCCACGATCCATTAGCAGGAGTGAAAAATGGTGGCTCGTGCCTGACCTGTGAGCAGTGAATCACGTAGGACACAATCCCCCAGACACTGTTTGGATCGCTGGCCTTTACCATTTTGAAGCATTGATCATCTTCCCCTGGTCCAGCACGTTCTCTCCCATCTAACTATATAACACCCAAAAGCACTTTTTAAATTCCTTTTGGCAACATAGCCTGTGATATCAGGCCCTTTACAGTGGCCTGCCAGCCATTCTGCAAAATGAACATTTTTAACATTTCCATTCAGTCGACAGATATTCACCAGGCATCTACTGAAGGGACAAATCACAATGACACACAAAGCATCACATCTAACTTTAGGTAACTTTAATTTCAGGAGGGTTGCATGCAGGTAAACAAGCAATTATCATCAGGGTAATTCAGAAATGCAGACCCAGAGAGGAGGCTTCCTGGAGAAAAGAGGAACGTGAGTGCCAAAGGATAAAAGTGGGGAAACAGAGAAGGTGTCAGAGGTGGAAAGAAGAGCCTGGGTAGGCGAGCTCAGGGGAAGGGAAGTGCGGTGACATTCGCAGTGATGAAATTGGTTCAGAATGGCTGAAATGATTCTAGTCCACATTCCAGAGTCTGGCAAGCAGCCCACAGGCCTCTGACCCAGAACTCGAGAGATGGCGCTGCTGTGACCTTGGGGACACCGACTGGTGGCTCGTCAGGTTTTTTAGACTATGAAACAACTGGCAATTCTGACATTAGTTGTGGATCTTCTCACCAGCAAAGTGTCCCTGAATACAATTTTGTTCACAATGTCAGTGGGTTCAGAGTCACGGGCAGGACACATCAAGACCCCTGGCTAAAATCTAGCTCAGACTCATGGGAGCTCTTTTTTCAGATGAGGAAACCAAGGTCCACAATGACATATGGAAGCCTGTTATAAAAGCCAAGACCTAGGTCTCCCTCCCGCTTCCATCGCAGTACCGCCACCTGGGAAGCATGTGTCCGGCCGTGCCCACCGTAACCTTAAAGGACTCCACGCTCTGGCCGCCCTTGACCTTGTCCACTCCATCAGGCTCCATCACTCCAGCTCCCAGACTGGGAGCTTCCAGGCCTGGCTAATGTGACCAATCAGTATATATTTTACAAGATGGAGCAAAGGCAAGACAGCCAAGGCTGGGGTGGATGACCGTTTGCTTGTCTTGGGCTTACCTGTTCCCTGCCACGTCCAGGACGTGCAGCTCAGTGGCCCGTGACACCTCCGCAGGGATCCGAGTCAGCCTGTTGTCGCGCACGCAGAACACGGTGAGGCTGCTGCACCCGCCGATCTATGATGGGAAAGAAAACATGACTGTTTTCCAGGTTTTTCTGGGAAATGGGGGTGGGACTGGAGGGTCTTGTTCATCAAATGGCATGAAAAAGATGCACAAAATAACATCACACGATTTTAAGTCTCACTGATGACCAGCTATGATTGATTTAAATCATATAAAACACTGAGTCGTCCAGTAAGCTTAAAAATCTCTGCAAAACATTAAACACGTATGTTCTAAATTAAGTCAAGAAAATAAACAATACAGTTCAAAAACTGCATTCTGAACAGAAAGTCATTTTCTACTGCTACCTAATGCAACTGCATCTTTTAAATATGTTAACCAGGCAACACAGGTCCAGACATATAGTATTTGGTAATATGAGAGTTTAAGAATTCTAGGTTGGAAAAAAATATGAAAAAGGATATATATATATATCTGGATCACTTTGCTGCACTCCAGAAACTAACACAACATTGTAAATCAACTATACTTTAATAAAAAATTAAATTAAAGAAAAAGAATTCTAGGTTTCAAAAGTCAGGCCAAAGGTGATACACACACACGCACACACACACACCCCTTTGAAGACCTGCCCATTATGTTAACTTCAGTGTTCCAGTTTCTTTAAAAAGAAAAGAAAAAGAGGAACATCTGAGAGACGATACATTGATTTCTACCATACATCTTTTAATAGCCTTTGGTCATTCACAACTTAATTTGATAAATTCATTGCCCTTTGACAAATGCAAAATGAACCATCTTTTAGCAAAAAGTGAATTTGGTCAGCTATGACCTACTGCTGAAAGCACACCTCGATAGCTGCGTCCACACCAAATTTGATTCCCTTTTTATTTTAAGTAACCGATTCAAAGGTAACTGAGCTTAGTAAGAGTCTAGTCTTCACAAAAGAATTCAAGGACTCTCTTGAATAAGCTGTCTGTGGTTTCTACAGTCAGGAAAGCTGAACGAAGGGGTTGCAAAACCAGCTGGGTCCCAGACACAACATCCCGGAGGCCCGCGTCCACGCTACGCTCTCCACACATGCGCTGTTCTGACTCAGGGCGGCTGGGGAAAAGGGCTGATGAAGGGACCTATTGATTCTGATACATGGAAAAATACCCCAGAGCCTCCGCCAGAGGAGGAGCAAGACACCCAGCTCTTCATCAGTATCTGAATATACCTTCTGCCCTTTTCTATTTATTTCTGTGTTAAATGTACGTGTGTATCTTAAAAAGCGGAATGCACATTTATGAAACTGCTACATAATTACCTTTGTGCACAATCTTTTTATGTCTTCCCTTAGGAGTTAATATAAGGATTTTGAAATAATATATTTAACCACAGCATGTAACCATAATGAATGTAAAAGAAGACTAAACACAAGAAAACACAGACTAACATTCCTCTCTGGTCACCTGGAAACACCCAGAGACGTACTGTTCCCCTCGTTTCTCAGTATTCACATTTCCCATCCCAGAAAAACTGGTTTGCTCACTGTCCTCTAAAAGACATCTTGTATTTTTGGTCGCACTGTTTCTTATAGACACACCCTTCTTCTTTCTGTCTTTTTTAAATCTGACCATCACCCCCAATTAGCTAAACATCCTCTACCCCGAAAAGCCTTCCCAGAACCACTGGTCCACGTCAATCCGTTTCCTTTCTAATTATGGTCCATACAAACCCTCTGACAGATCATTTGATGGGGCTGTTTAATTTGCACGCTTACATGTCATCAGGGTGCTTGGCATCCTCTCTGCCCAAAGGTGAAGCCCAGCTACCTACCAACCTTCCTCATGAAGGTATGTCTACACACCTGTATTTGTTTACTTACCTCTGAAAGGCTGCTACTTAAAGTTGTCATCTGCTTCTATGTGTAACAATGGAGACCACAAAACTCTCTTCCCTGGTAAGAATTACTAGGGCGGCCTCTCACGTTTTGTAAATATCATGTCCTAAAAGAGGCACATCTTCTGTGGGGCCTGGCATTCTTCCCTCCCTTGAGGAAGGGGATCAGGTTAACCCAGGTGCCCAGGCACCTCCCAGAAGGAAAGGAATCAAAACGCTGGACACCCTGGATCGTGTGAGGACTGACACGATTAGATTCGCTCTGATGAATTTAGGTGACCCCAACAAAGATCGACCCATGCGGAGGTCCCCATGGGGCCCGGCCACGCTCCATGTGGCCGGGGATCCACACCGGGTCTGCGACCCAGGAAGGGGCGCCTTCTGGGTCAGCACGTGGCTGAGGCCGGTCATGCCTCATGCCGGCCTGGCTTTGAGGAGACAGAGCTTATCTGGACTCCGGGGAGGCAAAGCTGGTATCGGTTATTTACACACAGAGCCGAGGCTGCATCGTGATTTGGGGCTTCGCTTTGTCAGGAAGCTGCCCACTGCCCCCGCCACCGGTGGGGTCTTTGTTTGAGGGGCCTACTGTTGCATGCACCATGTGAACATTTTCAATTTGTACCGTGTGCCTATACCATCTACTCCTAAAAATTAATTAACTAATGAAAGTGGGTCAGAGAGGTCTCTGAAAGTCGCCCGTGCAATAAAAGTTCCGGACAAGTTCACACCGCTTACGTACTTTGGGGGAAAGAACGGGAACTCCCGGTGGAGGGTGTGCACTGCCTACGTGTTTACAGCCTGTGATTTATTTTTTTCTCTTTCCTTCCCCGCTCTACTCTCACACCAATTGAGAGGTCAAGGGAAGGAAGGCAGTGTATCCAAGAGCCTCAGGCGCTCTGGGTGGACAAGGCAGGTGAGTGGCCTCTGAGCGCCACTGGCCATGTTTTCAGGAAACGATGAGGACAGAGAGTCCATCTGGGCTGAATGTGTGAGGGCTGCCTAGCGGGGCAAAATGCAAAGGACACGCTCACACCAAGCCAGCTGGGAGGGCGTGGCGCAAAGCTTTGGCTTTTGGAAAAGATGATCGAGCAGTCAAAACCATGATTCAAAAGACAGAGTTCTTCACAGACGTCAGAGGGGGGATGCGGGGTGACGGAGAGCGGGGGGCTCTGGGATCTCACAGACCAGGGGTGGAACTTAGGCTCCGTCCTAGGTCCTGTGGATTTGGATATGTTACTTTAGCAAAAGTAACAATAAGCATTAGATTGAACGAAACCACCTATCACAGCCCCTATCCTAGGACCTGGCCTATTGCTGCTGCCAAATAACGGTAGCTGTTGTTTTTCCAAGAAGTGAAAGTCCCAGGTCCCAGTGACAGGCTGTCCACACCTGAGCCCCTGCCATGTTGCTGGAACTGTGCTGAGGCTGCCCACCTCTGCCCTGGACGCCCCAGAACCTCCTAAAACACTGTCCCCCTGACAGTGCATCACAGTGACATTTTGTGTTCACAGGAGTGAAGAACTGGCCCGAGTTCAGTACTGCATTCTGCATCATTCACACGTATTTCTGCTTTCTCTTTTGGGCTCAGGAGGCAGAGTTTACAGGCTCCTTAGGGGTCAACAGGATAAAATGTCTCCATCACTTAGAAATTCTGGGAAGCAGAGTCACTGTTTAAATAACTTATTACCAGTTACGTAGGAAGCTGATATTTTCAAACTCCCTTTAACCACAAAATAGCACACAAGGATAGCAGCACCAGAGAAATGAATACGAGGGCTTGGACTTGGATTCTCTGAGAATTACAGAACGTAGCTAAGGGTCCTTGTTGAGCTGTTCCGTGTTCTCCTAATTCAAGACAATACTGTCCTTAACTCTTTGGCACTGATCTGATCCATCTCAAGGATATGGGACCTGCAGATCACCGAGCAAACCTTCAGTAAGGTCAACTTTCCCTGAGTATTAACTGCCTGCAGGTGACAGCTTAAAGGAGATAATCAGACAGATTGCATGACTCAAAGAGAAAGCCTGTATTGGTCACCTTTGCCTATAGCCTGCCTTGTGAATACCTGCCCCGAGTGGAAAGGAACTTTCATTTTCCTTCAGCATCTTCCTTTCAATATTATTTGTAACAGAACTGAACCCACATTTCACTGGCAAGAGGGAAAATGTACAATAAGCAAAATCTGGTCAAAATCCTATTTGAACAGAAATAACATGAGGTATAATTTTAGAAACCAAAGACTATTTTTTGCCTTTCCCATGATCATCTGTGGCATATTATTCAAATGTTCCCTGCTCCAGAAATATTTTGGAAACCATGTGGTTTTGGGACTCCCTGAATTGTTGGGCCACTGACATCAAAATATCCACTAACAGCGACAGCATTCTTCTAATTATAAGAAAGTAACTTAGTTGACTGGAAAATAAAAACCACATACACACAAGTACGAAAGCACAATGAGAAAATAACTCAAACCAAATCCTGCCACGAAGGGATAATCAGTCTTAACATTCTGAGGTTCAAATGCCATGCATTTGTGATTATAGATAGGCACTTCAACAGAATTAGGACCAGCTCTATGATCTTTAGCACCTTTGTTTGCATACAGAATCAAGAATGTCTTCCAATGTCATTTTGCTTTTAACAGAATTTTTACTGACCACATAGTTATTTCCTTCTACGTTATGTATCACAGATTACTTAGCAGATCACCACTGTAGACACTGCTAATTAGTTCTACCATTTCTTTGCTGTGTGATCCTGGGCAAGTTACTTAACCTCTCTGAGTCTTAGTTTAGAAATCAATATCTGTTGGATGCTGATGATGATTTACCTATACCTCATTGAATTGTTGTGAAAATCAGACAAGAATTAGCCTGAAGGCACTTGGCACAGGGCCTGGCACATGTCAGCTGCCTCCGGACTTGTTTGGCATGGTGCCTGGAACATGCTAGATACTCCTGCATACACTGGGAGAAATAATCTCGTGCATGATTCTCAGTGTACATCCATAATTGTTCTCCTAGGATAAATTCCTAGAAGTGGAATTACAGAATCAAAGGGTATGCATATTTTTCAAATTTTTAATACTATTACCAAATTCCCTTCCAGAGAAGCCATAATAATTTATATTTCCATGATAACAGGCACTTTCCTGTACTCTCACCAATATTTGGTATATTATTATATTTTTTAAATCTTGAAAATCTGATAGGTGAAAATGCTTCAATTAACATTTTGTGAATAATGATTTCACATTAAAAGTCATTTCTATTTTTTTCTCCTGTGAATCACTTACTGGTTTTTGTGGGGGGGTTCTTTGCTTTTCTTTCTGTCCACTTTTCTGGAGTGGGTACATCTCTTTTCTCAATGATGTGAAAGAATCTCTAACAGAGTAAGGAAAGACAGCCTTCACGTGCGATGCTGTAAACGTCACCCTTCCCCCAGCCTGTCTTTATTTTCTTGAAGATCAGAAATCTCATTTTCACGTAGACAAATCCATCAACTGTTTCTTTTATGAGTTATTTCCTCTTTCAAGTTTAGGAATGCCTTCTCTATCCTGAAACCCAACGGTCAGCTTTTTTTTTAATTCTAGCATTTTTAGGCTTTGTCGTATCTCTTTTATTTATCAATGATTCACTTAAGAACATCATGGGAACTTACTTTAGAAGAATTTTAAATTGTACTAATAAGAAGGCAGAAAGCTATCCACAAAATGAATACTCTATCACCATGGACATTTCTGAATAGCACAATAATATCTGTGGGTGATTCGTGCTTACAGATTGCCTGATAAAGGAAAGCTTTGACGAATGATCTGCAAATCCTCCCTTGTCTCACCTGACCGGACAGGTATGATGTAGGTAGAGTCACTTCCATTTTGACCTAATGGAGACAAGAGACTAAGCCCTAAACTTGGATATATACTCCATTTCTTCCATCCAGAAACTCTCTGTGGTCTAGGTTATTTAACGATAAGATGTGGCTGGAAATACTATAAAGTTTGTGTCTATCTTCCTACCCATGATCACGCATACACGGACGTCCTGTCTATCCACGAATCAGAGTCTCTTCCCCTTAATTCTTCCCTCCACCAAAAACAGGGTTTTTTAGGGAACTTCCTTATCACAGAAACATACACACTTGAGCAACGGGATGAGAAATAAAAGACGCAAGTAAGTGGTTTGAAAAATCAGAAGCATGCCACATGTAGCAAATAAAGCGAATCTAGCCTGTCCCTCAGAGACAGAATCGTGCCAACAAAGTAGAATTTGGTGAAGGCAGATGAGCCCCCAAGGTATGCCTTTCAGAATTTCTGAATAACTTAAGATGTAATTCACAGAAAAGCATTCTTTTGAGAGAGAGTAATCGGAACAAATCTGACAAACACATAGCAAAACCAGGTTCCAGGCCATGCAGTCATTTAAAGAAACAAACAAAAAAAACTGAGTTTCGAGGAAAATGTCCAATGTTTTACAATGAAGAGCACACAGAGCTGTCGGCCGATCTGAATCTTCATGCATTTGAGAAGCAGAATGGAAGTCAGAGATGCAACTGTGGTCTGAACAATACTTACAAGATTGCAAGTTTACCTGACTTTTCTAAATTTCCAAGCAGCTAACAATTAAGAAAACAAGAGACATTCATTGATTTGCAAATGTTTACTACACATAACACCACACAACACAAACAGAATTATTATTGTGACCTACACAGTGCAAACATTTTCCCCTCAACCATTTGGGAAAAAAATGCAAATAAATGCTGCTATAGAAGAAGGAACTGTGCTGTAAAACTGACAGTATGTGATACTATCAAATGGGGGGAAAAAAAGACAAAAAAGAGCAAGAACTACACAGCACACCAGACCAATGGCCATTAATACAACTATGGATTTGGGGCATATAAATGGAACTGGTCAGCATTTCAGTTTAGATGTGTCATGCGTGAGACTTAATTGTTCAAGAGGAAGTAATCACGTTTGGAAAGAAAAGAATCCAATCAGGAGAGTGCAGGATTTGATGGGATGGTATCAAGCTTGGAGGCAGAGTGTATGCACACACGTGGCATTCCCCCTGCACACACACTCACACTCATACCAGACCAACAAACAAGACCCCGTTCAAGGTGAGGGGCCCATCGATGATTTGGCAGCTCAGCCCGAGGGTCAGAGGCCAGTACTGCCCATTTCTGCAGGGTCACCAAGCTGGGAACCACAGCAGAATTGGGACACGTCCTAGCCTGGGAGCTCAGAGTATGTGAGTCGGAGTGAAATGGGCTAGAAAAGAGCCAGTCTCTGGGGTCCTAAACAGCTCTGCTTTCTCGGGCAGCTGAAGGAAAAGGCACAAACTTCATTCCTTGATGAAACTCCAAATGCCAGGAAAGCAATCATGTCAATAATTTCATTCTCTCAGAGTGACAACAGGGCTGATGCTAATATGATGGGGGCAATTTACAAGAAGAAACTCCTCACATTCTTGTCTAAAATGTGTTCCTTTGAAAGAGCAGATCCAAAGAGAGGGATGGAGACATGGCAGGTGGGTGGTGACTTTGCTGGGGATTAACATCGTACTCAGAAGCCCTCTCTTTGGCATTTACTGAAACTATTCCTCAAATGTATAATTTTCTAAAGTGTCCAAACTAAAGATGATTTGACCTTCCTTTACCCAATCAAGGTCCTGCCTTACGTCAAGGTCACAGCGATGAAAAGGTAGGTTCAATCTGCTTTTATGGGCTTGGCCATCTGGGGACACGTCTGGAACCCATTCTCCCAACTCCCAGCTGTGTGAGCCCCGGTGGGGAAAGCTTCTCACCAGCCTCAGTTTCCTCAGTAAAGTGAGGAAATCCTTACTGTTTCCTTACTGTTTCCTCAGTAAAGTGAGGAAATCCTCATGGCCTCAAAAAGCTGCTGTGATGATTCAATGAACATACACAACAGCACCTAGTGTAGTGCAGGACGTTGAGAAAGGAAGTCATGAATCTTTTCTACTTCTCTCTGCATGTGTTTATGTGTCCGATCTACACCCTGGATCCACACATGTTCTCCAACAAGAGTACAATTAAATGCTCAGAACACCAGCTCTATGTTTCGGTTTATTGCTTTGAGACTGGAACCAAAACATTTTGATGAGCAGACTGTCTGGTGTCCCAGTTTAGCTGAGATGGAGATTTAGGTCTTTCTGCTGGAAACAGAACGTAGTCACATTTATAACAAATATCCTTATGCTTCCACTCAGGAAGGCTGGCCGTTCTCACCCAGGGACAAGCCTGGGCTACCGAGAGTAGAACACCCAGATGGGGAAGGGAAAGAAGAGAACAAGCCAAGTCGGACACCCAGAGAAGCGGCCCTGGGAGCATAAGAACCCCTCGAGCTCTGGCTGGTTGGAGGGCAGCTTTGAAACTATTCCAAAACAGATGTTAGAAAGGATCAAACAGAGAAATAAGGAGGAAACCGTGCCTGGCCAGTGGTCATCACATCAGAGGACATGGCACCTTTTCATATGAGGCCTTGGCCAGGGCGAGGGGCTCACCAACGGCTCACTTGATGGGCGGAGGCGGGGGGGGGCGGAAAGTGGAGAAACAGCATCTTAAACTTTATTTTAGGCTCTATTGCTAATAAAAAATCAAGCTCAGTACAACCCATTTCCAATCAGGTTCTCCTGGTTCCAAATAGAAAGCGAGTCTTCCTTTTAAACAATGGCCCAGAAGCCGCCCTGTGTGACCTGTCTCAGGTTTCCTCCCCACTCTCAGTATTGGCACATCCTTTGCCAGAACTGAAATGCCACTAAGCTGCACAGCTATGCCTGCAAACGATGGTGACTGTCTCTTTTCTCCTGCTTGGAGCACTGACCAAAAAATCCTAAGAACCTGGCCCGACCTTCCCGGGCATCCTCCTCTACTTAGAGGGCTCACTCCCTCTCTCCCGGAGGCAAGCCTCTGCCCAGGAAGACGCTCCATCAAGATCCATTTTTATGACTCCAACAGTTATGGGGCAGTTTAACTCCTCATTAAACCCAGTCAAACCCAAAGTCACCCCCTTCCTCTGCCCAACTCCCAGATCACCCCTTCCTGTCCGTGGCGTCACTGTTCTCCTAGGTCAACCCCAAAATGTCGTTCTGTCCCCCAACGAATTCACCTTTCCCAACTCTGCTCACAACCATCTGGACCCACCTACTCTCCTTAGTGTTACTGATGGTCATTCTTTGATACAATTCCTCCAACCATCCCTGAATCCACAGACGAGAGTTTACACCTTTAAAAAGCATCACATAAGTCTTTTAAAGTAGTTGACAACTTTGACCCCTTATGTGTTATTATTTCTTTATAATTATTATTATATTATTTTCTTAAAAGCACGTACCTCTTTCGGTAAAGACACTAATTTATTTCTGTCTGCATTCAAGTTGCTCAACTTCTTAAGTTTTCCAATGCTCTTAGGTAAAGTCTGTTAAAGTAACATTTTTGTTATTAACTTAATGCATACTTTTCACACAGCTCAGAGTAAAACAGATCTTTTCAAGAACTGAGAGAATCTAATCTCATGCAGTAAGAGAAGTGATGGCTCTTCCTGAATATCAGGTGTTTTGTAACACTCACTTGGGGGATGTGGCATCTAATATTTTGTATTTTTGTAGAAATGAGATGAGAGTATGTTTCAATGAGATGAGGTCAAAGGCACAGGCCTGGGAACAGAGAAACACCAAGTAAAAGAGGTAATGAAGGCTCTTTAAGTCAACGAAGTGAAATCTGCAACCTCGAGATTCATCCCTTCCCCGCCTGCACCTCTGAGAACCCCAAGAGATGGTGGCTTAGATGCCTGTGGAGGCCAGAGAGCTCAGCAGGCAGTGAGAACCCGAGCGGGGGGGCCATGAGGCTGGGGGAAGGAGGGGGGCCACCCAGGCTAGTGTGGGAGCCCACGGGGAGGGGGGGGTCTTCAACCCTGATGGAATCAGGGATGAATATTATTTTTCTGACTGTTATGACTACCATCTGTAATTCTTTTTTTTTTTTTTTTTTTTTGACGTGGACCATTTTTAAAGTCTTTATTGAATTTGTTACAATATTGCTTCTGTTCTGTGTTTCAGTCTTTTGGCCGTGAGTCATGTGGGATCCCAGCTCCCGACCAGGGATGGAACCCACATCCCCTGCATTGGGAGGCTAAGTCTTAACCACTGGATCGCCAGGGAAGTCTCTACCATCTGTAATTCTAAACCCAGAAACAAGGAAGGAGAGCCTAGTCCCTCCCACCCAACCTGCCCGAGGAGGCCGCTGTCCTGTCTGAGGGGAGATGCTCCCGGCTCACCCCGCACTACCAACTCTACATCCTTCACTCACTCTTGCTGTCTTCTTCTGATCTTTTCACCTAAAGAGCATTACTTACTCTCTTTATAAAGAGAGGAGAAAAGAGAAGAAAAGAGGAAAAAGGAAAGTAGAGTAAAAACTAAAGTGACAAAATATAGAGAAAAGAGAATGTCAGGAAAATAAACTAAAGAAAACAGCGGCTACAAGATAATGACAAGAGGAGAAAGGGGAACAGATGGGGTGGGAGGTGAAGGACGATGGACAGAGAGGAAGCAGCAGAAGGCGAGAAGCAGCTGAGGTTTGCCGTTGCCCTGGGAACCCGTCCCAGCAGGTGCTGCCTCGGGAAGATGCGGAGGCCTCTCTCTGGTCCAAGCCCGGGGAACCTGCACTGCCTCACCCAGCTTCTCAGATGGGGAGAGATCAAGGTCAAAGCCATGCTCTGGCTCCTCCAAAAGAGCATCCCCCCACCCCCAGTGCTCCCAAGGCTTCCCGGGACAACCACCATTCCCTCCCCCTCTGGCCCATCCTCGGACTCCCCGATGGAGGCATCAGCACTTCCACCAACAGGGCCGGTCCCCACCCAACCCCCACCTCCGCCTCCCTGGGCCCCCTAGTGTCCAGCTCAGTCCCTGAACCCTAAGCATCACAATGGGGACACACTCTCTGATGGGGGACCTGGACACGTTAAAACGGATCACCTTTATGTCACATGCTTGCTTCTCAGGTCCCTTTGTTAGTTACAATGTAAGGCAATTTCCATCTGGTCTACCCAAATTACAAATAAGTAGAATTGAACCTAAGGAGCCTTTGTGACACAGAGCCCACATCATAAGTCTCCCTCTGACCCTGGAACCACACTTACCAAGAGCCGGTTTTCCGTAAGAACCAATTCCGTGAGGCTTTCACAGTCCCCAACCGCCTCGGGCAACTGGGTGAGTCTGTTCTGATCCACCTTCAAGATTGACAGTTTCTTTAGTTTTCCTGTAAAAGCATTATTCAAACTCATTACTTATCACTGTTTTCTTGATCACTGCTTGGTATTTCCTATCGGCTGTCCTTGCTCATTTGATATCCTCACCCAGATTTTCAGATTATGAAACTGTACCATTCTCATTTCGACCACGAACAGTTGAGAGTTAAAATCATTTGTTCAGAATGTCAGAAACAGTCAGCAATTAGCGGCAAATCCTTTGGAAAGTCACTACCTAAAAATATGTCAAAGCCCAAAGATTTCAGGAAAACACAAACAGCTGGCTCTTGATGGATCTTTAAGAACAAGAAATGTCTCGTGTACAGAGGAGAGACCTTAATGTTACTCTAACAATCATCCTCACTAAAAACAAAAGACCGCACAGTGCAGTTTATTCTATCACCTGTGGATGACAATGACTCCGTGAAGATCCCTACAATGAACTATTTCTATCAATGTAGAGTCAGTGGGCTTCCTTGGTGGTGCAGTGATTAAGAATCCACCTGCCAATGCAGGGGACACGGGTTGGAGCCCTGGTCCAGGAAGATCCCACATGCCGCGGAGCAAGTAAGCCCGTGTGCCACAACTACTGAGCCCGCGCTCTACAGCCCGCGAGCCACAACTACTGAGCCCATGAACCACAACTACTGAAGCCCTCGCGCCTACAGCCCGTGCTCTGCAGCAAGAGAAGCCACCGCAATGAGAAGCCCATGCACCGCAACGAAGAGAAATCCCCGCTCGCCGCAGCTAGAGAAAGCCCACGCGCAGCAAGGAAGACCCAACGCAGCCAAAAATAAATAAATTTTTGAAAAAAAGATGGTAAGCTTTGAAAAGCCACATTAAGACTGATCTATTTCACTCTGGGCGGGGAAAACGGACTCACGGGCAATGCCCTCGGGCCACGGGAAAGGAACTGGGGTTTACTGCAGCCTCCTCAGCCCCCGCGAGGTGGAAGAGATCCTGCATCACCAGATTCTCACTTTCAACTACTACTTTGTCAGGGGCTGAGCCTATAGAGCAGAGGTCCTTGTTATCCACAGAGAGTGGCCAGCATGATGACACTGTCCCCAGGAAAATCGGAGAACAGCCTCTATCATAAAAGAGACATAAAGCTGGAGACGTGGAGATGCTGAAGGGATGAACTCACTTTGCGTGCGGTCCCGGGGCAAGGCAGAGGAGCTCACCGATTGCTAGGCTCCTTGTTTAGCATTATCAGTACCAACTAACACTGTCCCCAGTCAGTCCCCCCCAGTCCTCAGGCCAGGAGACCCATATCCTCTGAGAGGCATGGAACCCTACAGCTGACAGAGCTCACTCCAAGAATCTCCTCAACAACATCACTGACAAGTAGTCCGGCAGCCTTTCCTCGAATACTTCTAGTGATGGGAGGCTCATCTCTTCACTAAGCAGCCCAAACTGACTCATAACAGATGCATTTTAAGCTTTCTTAAATCAATTGAGATTAGCAACCCTTTCCTTTCACCCACTTGAACTAGAAGACGGAATAAATCTCCTTCTACCTGACAGCCTTTCAAAGGCTTGACATCAACCGTCTCATGACTCCTATTTCTCCCTCTTCCCAACGACAAAACATCCCCAGTCCCTACAACTGCTTTCTGATGTCATATATGATTCTCAGCAAATGTTTCTACCTGGAGTCAAAGTCCCCATCAATTTCCCAACCAGCCTCAACCAAAAGGCAGAGCCTGTATTTCCGCCAGGTCGCTATTATCATCTGGACCAAATACCAGAAAGGAAGGGGTCCTCTGTCACACAGCTTCTCCAACTACTGAAAACCTTCCCCAAACTCCCTCTGATGTTCTGAATACAAGTTAAGTGAAGGTCAAAGACAGCTATCCTATGACAACCACACAGTTAAATATAGTTTCTTACAATTTCTAGGCAGCTTGGCTATGGTGGAGCTGACAGCGTATGTCTGTTTATATCTTCTCTGTTTGCATTTATTTTCTCACCCTGGGCTGTGTTCCTTTATGGTAAAGGAAACGTCTGGACTGTTTTTTAAAGGAAATGGCAAAGAATGGTTCAAGGAAAAGATGATACTCGATAGACCAGAAAAGGTTCCATACAACACCCACTCTCCCTGTAACAGCCCTTACCTGGGTCACACCATAAGGTCAAAGGTCGTTTCCCATAAACTATTTATGATGCTCAATTAGAAATGTCTTAGTGGTTGTTCATATGTCTGAAACACACACTGTGATTTGGGCTGATCCCTACCGAAATCATGGAAACAAGATGCAGAGGAAGTAGACAGGGGCCAACACTTAAAAGTAACAACACGTATAGCTGCTACCAGACCAGGGCGACAGAAACGCTTGCATGTGAAGAAACTTTCATTGTATTAAATATTCCTTGCTTTCCTTCTTTAAAAACAAATGACTGAAGGAATCACGTCCTCAGCACCTGAGAAGAGCCAGCACCTTGGTAGTTAGTTATTTTCAATACTCACCAATGCCATCTGGGAGTGTTTCTAACAAGTTCTGGGAAATGACTAAATCCGTTAACGAAGTCAGGCCACTGATTTCTTCGGGAAGTCTTTCCAACCTGTTTTCAGAGACATCTAAGCAGAGCAGGTTCTTCAGATTCCCTATTTCCTACATCAACGACACAGGAAAAGAAAAGTCATGCCTGAACCTGCCATGGTATGGAGGAATTTGTTACAGCGATGTTTCAAAATCGAATCCCAGAGTGGTCCTAAGGATGTTTCCCTAGCGCCGGTGTGAGTGTGAAGGCAGGGGTAAGTTTCCAGACCCCCTTCCAATGAAAACTGAAAGCGGTGTGAATCACACACACGGAGCTGGGAGGGACGCCAAGCCCTCCGACGTCAAGCAGGTGAGGAATCACTCCCTTAATAAGGTGAGGAGGTTGGCACCAAGAGAAGATGAGTCGTTTTAAGGTCCCACAAATTAGGGGAGAAAAAAAAAAAGGAGGCTAGAATCCAGTTCTCCAAGTTTGGAATCAATCACTCAGAAGGCAGCTCGCACTTGACAGTGAGCCTGAGATGTCCTGGAAGGAAACCATCTACTTTCTATCTCCCATGACAGACAGCGCTTGTTACAACATCGGTGCGTCTGCTCCCCAGCCACACTGGAGCACACAGACCCACCGACACCGTTAACACCCAAGACAAGCAAGGCAGACTGCTTTGAAGCACAAGAGCCAACCCATGAGTGAGGGAGGTGCCTCTATGAGTCTCACATTCCATTCAAGAGAGATCGTACCATTCCGCTCTCCAAGGGCACAGTTTCTCTCTGATAACTGCCTCCACTGTTCCGTGCCATTGCCAGTCTGTTACGTTCCCACTCTCAGTGCCCTCCCACCCGGACTGGTCTGGGCATCCTCTGCCCACGTCTGTTCACAAACCATGCCTCCATCTTTCCCTCCAGGAAACATCGCTCCAGTCATGGAATCAGACCCCTCCTCTAACTCCAGTGGCTCCCTGACGGCTACATAAGCACAAACTCTTCAACTGGCACTGAACTGGGCCTGATCGATTCTTCCAAGTTTATCTCCCACCTAATATACATCCTGTGAGCCCCACCCCTGCATTTCCTGCCTGTAGGAAATCAGACTACATTTCTAGTAATTTCATGCCAGGCCCCTAAGGTTCTTCCACGTTTTCATTCATTCCTTTTAACAATGGCTTTGTCTCCTTTTCTTTCTGTTATCTGTGAAGACAGGAAAATAATTCTGATTATCTGGGACTGTCTGATGTGTTTAGTCCTGGCTTAATAGAAGGTTATACAAGCAGGCAAATGAGATGTTGAAATAACCATTAATAACATGACCAGTGGCATGTTAATTTCTTTGTGTTTGGGACATGGCATTTTGTACATAATTGTTTATGTACATCTGTCCACACACACACACATATATATATATATATATATATATATATATATATATATATTCTTTTTCATATTCTTTTCCATTCTGGTTTATCACAGGGTATTGAATACAGTTCCCTGTGCTATACAGTAGGACCTTGTTTATCCATCCTATATAGCTGATATTTCATTACTTTCTTAATAACTTCCTGGCATCTTCCCCCCATCCTTTGGCTCTTAAGTAACTAGAATCCTCTCAATCAAGATTTCTCATAACATCCTAGAGAAATCTAAGTGTTAATCAAACCCTTGCCCACATCAGTTACTGTTCTGTCCTATCCTTTTCCCAAATGCAGCCAAGACCTCAGAAATACACTCAGATTAGTTCCTTAGTTGCATCAGTCGTGGGTGATGTCAATGGTAATTCCAGCACTTATAACTACAACAGTCAGAATTTTACTTAAGTGCTTTTCTCTAGTGTTAGGCTTCCCTGCACCGATACACATTTCCCACCCGAAGTGCACGGTCCCATCATGACAGGTTCACACAGCCCAGCAGACAGCTTCTGAATTACTGTAAAATACACACACCTAGACCATCATGAAATATATTCCGACTTTAAACCCAGGCTGTAAGAGACAGCAAAGAGTAAAATTCAGTAATAGTTGGAGAAAAACAAAGTAAGGGGAAAAATGCCCGTGTGTTGTTGTTAGTTCAAGTTTCTCTTTCAACTGACCAGAAAGCGGGCCCTGCTTGCTGGGACCCACAAGGTGACCACGACGTACTCAGAAGCCCACACGAGACTCCGTTTCATTCCGAACATGGTTCTCACACTTGGCAACAGCAGGAAAAACATGAACAGCGTGTGACATTCCAGCTAAACCATAGCAACACTTGGAAAAAATATGAAAGAAAAGCTTTTTGCATTGCTTTTACATCAACTATTACAGGGCAAACTGGGGTCAACTTATCCCAAAGCACTTCGCACATCACAAACAGTGGCAGAAACTTCCACCATCTCAATCTGGCATCCTGGTAACTTCCAAATTTGCTGGGCTTCAAGGAGGCAAGCCAAGCACAAAGCAAGGATGAAATAAAATGTAGACTTTACACACTAAACGATATATTTATTATCTTTAGAAACGGTGGGTTGAGGCTTTCAGTTTTTCTACAGCAATGCAGCACGATGAATGCTCAATATATTTTTCCAAATCTGCTTTTTCAACCAATGTTTTGGTTTTCAAGATCCCTCCTACAGAAAATCTCATGTAGAGGCAGGAAACACAAGAAGGCGGTGGTGGTTTTACATTTTGGGGGAGACAGTGTGAAATTACCACTCACCTGAGGTAATTCTGACAGTTGATTTCCATCCAACCAGAGATCCTTTAGATGTAAGAGAGCGCCAATCGATTCTGGCTAAAACAAAAAGCAATGTTATGGTAACAAAGCTCCCATTTCAAGCCTTCTATTAAGAAAGAACCCTAATTCAACAGTTAGTAATGGGGTACACTGTAGAGGTCGCTTGTTGCTACTGCTACAATATCAGCCCCCACTTCCTAAAAGCATCCCCAACGCTCCCTAGGCATGCCAGCTGTTTCCACTGATACCCATCATCTCTAGCCGTGACCCTCCACCCCTGAATCATAATTCTTAACCTGTGTGAACTGAAGCACATTCTCCAATGCTGCCAAGCTGTATCCGTGGAAACACTGGCTTACAAGCGTCCCTACAGATCTCCCCCCAAAATATTTTGTGATCGTGACTAAGGACAAGGTGAAATTCAAATCTCTCTTCAGTACAGACTTACCAAATTATATATTTCATTGTTTCCTAAATCAAGTTCTTCTAGTCTCCGTAGCTGGGTTAGAGAGCTATTAAAAAAAAAAAAAACAAACAAAGGGAGGGAACTCTTAGGACTTAGAAATGCTGAGCAATATGGCATTCCTCACTTGGACTAGTTTCCCAAAATAAGATTCATCTGGATTTTATGGTCATAATTACTGCACAGGAAGGACTATTGAGAGAAGGCTGGCATCTCTCAAATTTTCCAAAAGACACAGAATTTCTTTTTGACAAGATACTGTAGTACTTTTTTTTTTTTTTTTTAAATGCTTCAAGAAGTTCATTCAGTACATAACCCCCTCTCCTTTTCCCCAGAGACTCACTCAGGGAGATACGTAAGAAGATTCTCTCTCAGTTCCAGTGAAGCCAGGTTATAAAGACTAGAAATGAACAGAAGGAAAAAGTATAAGGAAAGTTCCTGAGATTCTTCCTACTCCACCCCCCACAAAGTACATGCTCCACAAGGAGCAGCTCTTAATAAGACCTTGTACGTCACTTCCCAGGGGAAAACATCTATGACCACCCCCACCCCCACTGAAAACAGCATCATCTCCACTTCCCAAGTTTTAATATTAAAATAAAACGAGCAGTGTCATCACAGTAAGGCACCCTCATGCCTATACTTTGTACAGTTGATATGTGAAAATAACTCTCTAGCCCTTGAAAGACAACCACTCCCAGGACCAAGATAGCAGCCGAAAATGTGCTTCTAGGCTTTAGAATGTCGAAAATGTGCTGTTGCCATAAAAACAGGAAAGCCTTTAATCTCACGGAGCTCTTCTTACAAACATCAGTGAGAAATATGCCAGTGGGCATATCGGTCCAGAAACTCCACATGCTCTACTTAAGACCACAAGTTTACAGGGCAAGGGAGCACTGAGATGCAGGAGGACTCAAGTAATAACACACTCCACGCGGTGCCCACGATGCGAGACTGTGGTCAATAAGCAGCGGCTGGGGGGATGTTGCTTTTATT